ATAAATATGTTGCGTCGTGCAACCCGATCCCCCATATAAACTCTAAATAAATTTATTGCGTCGTGCAACCCGATCCCTCATATAAACTTTAACAACTCTTAAATGTATTAGAAATACTCCAATAAATACCACGTTCCCTAAATAGCAAAGAAGAGAAGAAAGTTCGCCGGAGATGGTGTTTTCTGGCCAAGCAAAATATTGTATACATTGTATTAAATCTAAAAATGGAAACGAACAAAAATCCAGCCCTCAATCTTCCCCAGCGTAGCCATGGTCAGATCTGAAATTTTTGGCGGCGATACACAACAGCAATATTTGGTTCTAGAGGTTGATTTGGAGGGACAATCAAATTGGTGTTTTTCAGCAGCTATGAGTTCTGCCCACAAATCAGTTGCATTTCAAAATCCACCATGTTAATACTACCCTAAGCATATGAACCGAGATGGAAAATTAATCGGAGGATAAAAGAGTTTTTACCCGCTCGAGAAGTCATGGTTTTGCTCGAGGATGGAAAATTAATTGACGTATTTCATGCCTCAATGATAGGTATAAATAAATACCTATTTCGCTATAAAATAGAAAATATAGCTAAGTAATAATATTTTGAAATTATTTTAATTTATAATAAATAGAGTGCAATAGTTTTTTAGGAAGTAAAATTTCCATTTTTTAACTATCAAATTTCTTGGGGAGTAGTAAGCATGTTCAGAAAAGAGGTAACTAACGTACAACACCCGGTAAAACTAAATTTGTAGTGCAAAATTTCTGTATAACGGTGTTAGTATGTATAGGTTAACTCCAAAAATTTTAAACACTAATCAATAATTGTTACCTAAGCCATAAGATTTTGTTGAAAAATGAAAACAAAATACCCTATATTTCAGGAGGGAGAGAATAGTATAACTTCCCGATTAAGGGTGTGTATGGTATGAAGAAAAATGTTTTCCATGGAAAATATATTTTCCTAGAAAATATTTTCTTAGTGTTTGGTTAGAGGGTAGAAAATATTTTTTAAGAAAATAATCTTTTATACTACTCTCCTGACCCCCTTCCCCCAAATCCTCATATTTCTTGTGCTCCCAAATTCACACAAACCTAAAAGAACTATTTTTCACGCAAAAATAACGTTGAAATTTGTGCTCCATAACTAAAAAGGAAATTACTCTTTCTACAACATGAAAATAAAGTACGCATTTTGTTGAAATGAAAGAAAATATTTTTTATACATCGCGAAAAGAAAATACTTAGTTTGTTGTAATAAAAAAAATATTTTTTCTACATCATGAAAAGAAAACACTCATTTTGTTGAAATGAAAGAAAAAATATTTTTTACTACATTATTTTTTTGAAATGAAAGAAAATATTTTCTACATCATGAAAAGAAATTATTTTTTTGTTGAAATGAAAAAAAAAATTACTCTATCTACAACACGAAAAGAAAGTACTCTTAATAATATTTCTNTAGCAGCCACAATTAAAATGATAACCAGGTAATAATTGACTCAATTTGCCATCAAATGCAACAAAAAAACTAATGATATGCATTGATTACACATTCTTGAACGCCAATTAATAAATCTGACAATTATGTTGATGAACCAATTACAACTGCTTCAGCAACAGAAGATAAGACATTATCAAGTTTCATCAAATTGGCATGTGAGCAAGACTAACTATTTGACAGCAGCTGATCTTCGCTCACAGAACTGCGACGGGATGTCTGTTTCTTGATCACATGTCCCTGTATTAGCAAAAGTCATACAAATTATGAAAAAATGTACCATAAAATAATGTTTTAGGATCTTGTTTTCCAGAATGATATAGCTTGAATTAGTGTCTCGGACTTATTTTATATACACTAATGTAAAAGAATTCAGTGTAACTCAACCTATAATAACAGGTTAGCTGACTTGTTTCCTTGTTACCAATTACACATTATGATGAAGGAGAGGAATGACATTACATCGCTGAGAAGTAAATCGTGCGGCTCAAGCATGTGAATCACTTCTCCCATTTTAGGCCTGTTGCTAACATCTGGATCAACACATCTAAGAGCAATGAGCAGAATTCGTTTCAGTTCTTTCATACAAGGCATTTCTGGTAGCTTTGGATCCACTATTTGATCATATTGTTGGCTTTCCACCTTTGACTTTATCCAGTCAATTAAATATTCCTGCAAATTGATTATAACCCCATTTTAGACCACCCTTTTTCCTTGTTTTATCTGGGAAAATCAGAATAAATGAGTATGCCAAAAAAGAAAGAAAATGGAGACCTCTATTTCTGTGATAGTATACTCAATGGAAGTCTTTCCAGATACAATCTCCATGATAAGTATGCCAAAGCTGTAAACATCACACTTATCATCTAAAATTCCAGTGGATAAGTATTCTGGTGCAAGATAGCTGAAACAAGCCATAGAAAAGAAAGTTACAAATCAACCAAAAAATAATGGGGTTTGTAGTTTTTTTATAAGTTTAAGAAACTACGAGATATATACTGCCTTTCCTGGTTACTAAGACAATTACGTGTGACCTTTTAGGTGACCTGATAGTGTAAAATTATTTTATATTGTTAGCGTATAGAAGCTAAAATCTGTATCAAGAACTCACCCTGACATTCCAGTAGGGGGTGTAATTGGGTAACTCCATTCATCAGAACCTAAGAGCTTAGTGATACCAAAATCAGATATCTTTGGATTCCATTGCTTATCAAGCAATATGCTACTTGACTTTAGGTGTTGATGGATTATTGCTGGTTCAGTATCCTCGTGAAGGTAAGCCAAGCTGCATAAACCAAATTTGTGTCAAGTTTTAATTTGGTCTCTCCTTTTGAAATGTGAATTCAGAGTAGAAGAATTTAAGTAAAAACACACCCTTTTGCAATTCCTAGAACAATGTTCATCCGTATATTCCATGTTAAGGGGCTAACTTCAGTGATACAATCATGAAGCCACTGCCCTAAATTGCCATTGTCTACATACTCGTCCACGATTATCCTAATCCAATTATAAATAAAAAATGGTCATTCAATGTATTAATATGATCAATAAAATGGCTGTTTGATCGAGCAGAGAGAGGATTTGTAGTATTTGTAATATCCTTCAAAACAATAACCAAGCAATTTCACCAAGTGTCTATGTTTGAGACCCAATAAAGCTTCTACCTCCCTCGTAAAGTCCTTTGCTTTAGCCCTGCCATCCAGTGTTTGAAGCAAATAATAAGATAATTGATATTGTTTCTATTATTGATGTCGTATTTAATGAATCCGCTTGTACAAAATCCTGGGTCCACCACTAATTGACAGTATAATAATACAATCAGGTCCTTATAAGGTAATTACAGGTAAATTTCTATAATAAGTATCAGATTCGTAGTAACTTGTGCACGAACTAACCTGCTACTAAGCAACCGCTTTATTGTAACTCTAGTATTGCCAAACAAGATACCATAATAAACAATGGCATAATCTCCACAAACAACTAGATTTTCATCAGCAAAGTCATCTGTTGCTGCTTCAATCTCAGACAATGTAAACTGGTAACTAGGCCTAACATCAAAAGCAACAGGAGGATGAAGATATCTAGCCGCTGACTCTAAATCCATCGCACTACTCAGTGGTCCACTGGCTTGACTAGAGAATATCACTTGTTTTTCTGGGGTTCCAATGCCCATTTCAATCTCCCATCCGTTATGCGGCAATAGCCTTCTACTCATTGAATAACTATTGTGTAAATCTTTTGAAATCGTTGGCTTCAATGCATTACGTGCTTTACGACGTCGCCTAGTTGAGATAACATAAAGAGTGATGCCGAGAGCAAAGCAGAGGAAGAAAAGAATTATGCAAATGAGAATGGCAACCCATAATTCGACCCCAAAGAATGAAGTTGGCTTTGAGAGTTTTCGAGTGATGGATGAAACGTTAAAAAGCATTGTTAAGGAGATTACAGGATGACATTACAGCAGAAAGGGTTTAACTGAGAAGCGAGCTTAGAGAAAAAGTCGAGTAGATTTAGAGTGAGAAAGAGTTTGCGTTCAATTAAAACTCTGCTTTGTAATTCAAATGTTTGATAATTAAGGATTTAAGGTAACGAAACTGAGAGATCCTTAATACACCATCTCTTGAACAATTTGTTGCCATTTGTAATTGTATCATTTTTCCAAGTAAAGCTTGAAGCTGGCATTTCTTATGCTTATTTAAGTGCATCATTTGAAGTTTCTCTTATATTTGAGGGCAGTTAACCCGGCTACTGGGCTCAGTTGGCACAACTTTTTTTTCCTTCTTAGATATTTTCTAGGTCGAGACAGGCCCTGTGTTGGGGAATGCAAAGGAACAGTGAGAATCGAACCTTACATTTATTTATATGTGAAAATCAAACTTTGCATTAATAGGATATAAAATAAAAGGTAGCAGTTTTATCATAAATAATCAAAAGAAAAGATGAGCAGGAGAGTACGGCAATAAGGTCAACTTTCTCTTCTACATGAGCTGCATTTTACTCTAGCCCATATAATAATTGATTTGAGCAGGCAGCAGATAGTCAGCTACAAATTTGCTTCTGTTCACTTCTAGGCACGGGACAAGTTAATATACCAACAGCAAGTACATACACAAAATCTGCATGTAAACAAGTACATTCCAAAATCTTAATATGATTGTTTCTCCTCTGTGAAGAGGCCTTAAATTTGTTTAATAATTTTAGATATTTTTGTTTAATGTTTATTTATTTATTTTTTACTTTTTGAGATGCAATTTAATCTTGACGATATAACCAACCCATTTAATCTTTGTTGAAACATTACTAACTTTTGATAAGTTTTTATTAAATTTAATGTTGATTTTTTTTACTTGACCATCAATATAACTTGCTATATATCATTTCCTTCCAAAGTAATAATCATGCAGGAATTTGTATTTATAAAGATGATAAACAAATCGACTATAGTTTTTTACGATCTAATTAGCTTGAAGCATACCTACAGAAACCTTGAAAGAAAATATCTTACAAAGGAAAGTTCAAGTTGGAATTTGAAGAATTAGAAAGTAAGTGTAGATTTAATTGCCTTTCACTTTCATTAGATTTTTCTCAACCAACTACCACCAAAAAGAAAAAGACAACATAATAAGTACAATAAATATTTAAATTACATATAAGAAGAATAGCTTTTGGGGCCTCTAATTTTGTGAGGCCTAAAGGGACCGCTTTAGTGGCTCGGGGGTTAAGCCGCCTCTGGTCATGTACTAACACAATAATTCAGAATCTGCAGAAGAATATCCACAGTGGAGACTATGAAAAAGGAAATGCCGGGGGCATGCAGATCTGCTTAATGTCTCCGTTGAATGGTGTCTTCAACGGATGCAACTTAATCTCATAAAGCTTCGGCCACCATTTGCCTGTGACTGAATAAAGTAATAATTCGGCTTAATGATGTTTCCTTGTTATGGTACACTTGTTACTATAGAACAACAGAATTTATATGAAACTGATGAACATTTTTGGCACAATAACGGCAAAAAGTTGATCTGTCCAAACTTCACCATTATAATCGTGCTTGATTCATAATACATGTAAATACTTATAAAAACTATGACTTCATATTAATCTCATTGAATTTTTCTATCATTTACAGAAAAAATGTCGGAAGAAAATAGTGGCAGTAGGCAGGTCAGTCTACGAATACACGAGTGTTGCCATTCTTTCACATGTACATACTTTTCTCCATAGATATGCTTTACTGATGTGACAAGAATCTCATTTCCAATCTTTCCCCTAACCCGACCCTAACAAATTGAGAAACTAGGATTGCTGGGAATGGCACACGTCACATACATTAAATATCTATTGCTTGCTCTTAACGTGTGGAAACTTGATTCAACTACTATGGCTAATCAGGTATTTAACCAATTAAGTCACGGGAGGCATGCTCCGTAAATATGCATTTTTAACTGACTTTCAGGTATCCATCAAGTGAGAAATTTTCTCAAATATTTTGTGAATAATCATAACCAAACCCTAAGCACTAAAGGAAAAGCAACAAGATGATGGAGCTCACCAAAAAGACGGTCGCCATCCCTATCCCATGCTATGCCATTTAAGACATCAATTTGCTGCAGCAAAGGTAAGTATTGAAGATGTTCAAAAGGTCAAAGTAAACATTATACACAGAACCAAAAGCAGTTGCTAAAATACACTGACCTTCAAATTGTGTAGCAATCCTTCTCTGCATAAGAAACAGAAGACGCATCATTTCACTCTACCTCCAATTTTTTAGGAGTAATAATTTCCTAATACTGAAGTAATGCTACTAGGAAAGAGCCGTTAGAAGAACCTCAAATTGTGGAGGAGAATCCATCCAAGCACTGAGCCATCTTTATGTGATATTCTAGCTATACAGTCAGTCTGCAGAGATAGGCGGACATAAGTCAGAGTTAACCCTACGCCACACTTGAGTTGTAAACGAAACTATTCAAACGTTTGGGCTTCAGAATCAAACAGAAGCATTGTATACTTTACTAGAACTGGTATTGTTGTCAAAGGCAAAAAGCCAAAAAATCCAAAGTTTGCTAGGACTTGAGCAAAAAGCACAGTTACTGCACGTACTTTAGGTAAGAAAAGAATAAATGCAGAAATAACTATACAACAACAACATAAACCCAGTATAATCCCACTATTGGGGTCTGGGGAGGGTAGTTTGTACGCAGACCTTACCTCTACCCCGGGGTAGAGGGTAGAGAGGTCGTTTCCGATAGACCCTCCGCCCTCGGCTCCCTCCCTCCAAGAACTCCCCATCTTGCTCTTGGGGTGACTCGAACTCACAACCTCTTGGTTGGAAGTGGAGGGTGCTCACCACTAGAGCAACCCACTCTTGTCGTAGAAATAACTATATATACAAATATTAATTACACATATAAAGGAGTTGGAAGCAATTAAGTGAACTTATGAAATACAAAGCCATGTTAATCAAGCTCAAAAACCAATTTTTTAACTCAATCAATTCAAATACCATTTAAAATACCTGATACAGTTGCGACCATGCAGCTTTGAGTCTCCAATTCAAATTTACTGACTAGTTTTTCATAAACTAAGCTTCTATTTTTCTATTCCTAATCACTAAATATTTGCTATTAACAGGAAAGATATCATTTTTCCAACTAATGCTTAATGTCTTGTGCCATCTTCAAGAGAGAACCTATGGACACTGAGGCAAATGCTTAGGTGCCTTGGTGTCTAAACTGTAAGCGTCACCTAAGTGAGTTCAGTGCTACATTTTTCAAGACAGTTCAAGCCATGATCGATGAGGCTCACACATTAGCGCTTTGTTGCACAGACTGAAGCTCTGTTTAAGTGAAGAGCTTTACCTATAAGACACCTAACTTCAAAGGTTTAAGGATGTCTCAAGTGATTATTTTTAATAAGGATCTCAAGTGATTCTTTAAAAACACCGAGAACTGGTATACTCGGAAAATATCCTCCATCATTTTGGTTGCTCATGTAATGAGATAAAAGTTCTCCATCGGACTTGGAAATTGAGGAAGCCACTACATGGCAAATCAAAGAGAACCCATTGATCTGTACTTCAAGCTCAGTGATAACATACAACATCCAGAACTTCACATATTGGGTTCAGATAAAGCAGTTAATGTTATTTTTAAGTTTTAACAATGATGCCTGGTATCCTTGTTAGTATAACTACAAGGTACCAGAAAAGGACTTGCCCGCAAGCACTCACTAGCAGAACAAGTAAAACACAGTTTAAGTTTCAAGAAGAATCTCAAGATGCTGCCGTCTGTAGTTAGAGAAATAGCTTAGTAGCCACATTAGTAGCCCTTGGGATGATTTTAAGGGAAAATAATTGCGATGTGTAATAGAAAATCAATCTTTCTGAAGAGGGAGTTGGGGTGAGCAAGTCCATACCATCCAAACATTTGCCCAAACTTCATCATAAACATACTCTAGTTCATTCAATCTGTGCACTTCATCACCTTGATAGTTTACAAATTTTTTTTTAACTACTGCAAGAACGGGAAAAAAAAGCATAAGAACAAAACGAAACATTCTTATATGAAGAACAAAACAACTGAATCATAATTTGACCTTCAGATGACAAAACCTTTCATAGTTTGAGGGTCAATTTGATACAGGGTAGAAGATCCATCACTTCCAAAAAGGACTTTCCCATCAGTTGCCAATCCCCAACCATCGGGCATACCATGGCTGAACTTCTCAAACTGAAGAGGAATATCAACTGTAAGAATTACTGAGGTGGAAGGGGAAAGAAGCAATATAGAGGAGTGCATGTCACTATAAAAGCTTGCAACCACAAAAATACTAGCATTTCTCGCTCCACAATCCCAAATGAGAAAGGATTAATACACAGCATATTTCTGCATCGCAAATGGCAGTTTATGTTGTATATTAAACTTCGGACGAAAAACCGAGATTCACGTTCTGGAAATGGCAATCTTTCTGTTCAAGTAGTTGAATACAGAAGGCAACTGAAATCAAAATAAAACCAGCTTAAAGCTTCATCAAGCAGAGAAATTTAAGTTAGGTTAATGGAATTCTTTTTCCAGTTTGAAATATACACTTGAAGAATAGTCAATATCTTGAAGATAAAGATGTAGTTGTCTATTATCATGTCATTGTTAAGCATTTATCAGCAATATCAAAATAAATGTAGAACAACTGATTATAGATTAACTGTATATAGATGTTCATCAAAGAAACTGTATTGAGATGCTTAGCTAGTGACAACTCAGGAAAAGTCTCAACTGACAGGTAGACCTGTCGAACAATATATCCAGAGCAGCCAAAGATAGAAATTTTTCCGATTTCATACTATCAGCCAAAAAGTATAAGTTCCAGACACATACTATTATAGTTAATGCCATCATGACACTACTTTCTATGTTTTTTTCATCACTTTCCGCCATGACCTCAGCGTCAGAAAGTTGGGATTTGCAAACGAGATCAAAACAAAATGATCAGCACAGGGAAAATCTCTCTTTTCCAGCCAGAGAGTTCGCAGTAAACATCATAAAATTCTTTACTAGATTACATCCATGATCCAACAGGACTTCATCTGAGCAAGTCTAGCCACTATTAACATCAATAGCACAAAACTGCAAAAAAATACTGAACAAATATTAAAGCATAAACGACATACTTTGCTCAGATTATGCCGATCATATATGTAACCAGTACTCTGCCGCCAAGTTACTTGAATCAACCTATAAAATAAGTTAAGATTATTATATCAGATTTGAGGTCCATCTTTTTCATCATAAAAGGAAAAACAACAATCACTGTACAAGGAAATACAGAAATTGAGAATATACCATGCAGTCAAAACTCTTTTATTTAATTTTAAGTCAGAGAACTATTCGAAAGCACAGTGGGTACTTCCGCAATCAAGGGAGTTTTCAGAAGCCCTTCAAATTTTAGGAGCTATCAACTTATTTAGCAGAATAAGACATAATCATGCAGAAGTACCGAGAGGAGGATAGATAAACTCTTCCTTACAGAGAGGGAGAGAGAGAAAGGGAGAGAGAGAGAGAGAGAGAGAGAGGAACCACAAAAGCCTGGTTTCACTAGTCGGATTCCGGGTTCCATGAATCATGAGCGGATATTAAAAGATTTCCGATTAGAGGACTACTACGACTACAACATCGTTGACGCAAGCCTGTTTAGTTCCATCTCCTTGAGTTTCAACTGGAACACTAGGAGTTGGAGTCGGGTTCAGGCATCAAGTCATAAAAGATCATAGTAGTCAAAAACCTAAAAGGGACTATATCCATGTGGGCAACAAAAACATGTTTTCCTTTATTAGTCAAAAACAACATATTGATTAGCATCGTATTCTCCCAGAAAGTAAGTTCCCCAGAAGCATCATTATCACACTATATAGCTTATAACTAATGGGAAACAATATTTTCTTTTGGAAAAGAACGAGTTACTTATCACATGAATTTCTTCACTAGTTGAATCAAGAAGAGTAAAAACATTCTTTTTTTTAAGATAAAAAAGAAAACCTATCATCGGCTGAATGAAAAGCAAAACCATTCAGTTTAGATCACAAACCTATCACCAAGAAGAGTTAAGCCCTCCCCAAAGTCAGAGTACTGCATTTTCTGGATAGCCTTAACCTGTGAATGCCAGAAGGAAAAAGGTTCAATGATATATCAACTCGGCATCTCCAACTGAGCTTGAACGTAAATAACTATCTATTGCACTTGTCATTGGTCAATGTTAATATCATGGGAACACATTTTCTTTTTTTGATAATGTATATCATGGGAACAGCTGCTGCATAAAAAGAAACATCAGCACTTTACAAAGTTACCGTATGGCAGGATGTTTCCTTAATAGGGAATAAGCTTCCACATTCATTGCATCTTCTTGGGCAATTATGTTTCTCATCCTTTGTTTCCTGTTTTCTAACTTTCATAATTTTTACATCATTTTGTTTTTAAAATTCTCATTTTGAACATAATAACTGAAATGATAAAAGAACTTATCTAAACTATTTTATTTCACACCATCTTTCATTCAGCGCATCTAAGCCAATTACCTCGCCAGTCTGCAGAGTGACCTTCCGAACAGATGACTGTAGTCAAATATCATAAACACTATCAGTTACGAAAATATTCTGGTAAACCAAATCTTCCTAAGAAATAATCAGTTGAAGTCAACTTTAGAACCAGAGGGAAACTCACAGCCCCATTCATTCCAGTAGACTCAAATAGGGTATCATTTTCTGCATACAGCAGTCCCTGTAAAAAAAAAAAAAAGTGTTCACTGTTCAGTATTATTAGATGGAAAAAGTGCTATCTGATTACTTATCAAAAGAAAAAACCATATGATCAATAGTTTAATACTATAGCTGGCCCCTACTTTGGGACTTCTAAATAGAATTGAATAGGATAAATGTAGCCAACCCATAATATTTCAGGTTTATTACCAAGCAAAACATCTTAAAACTAAAAAGCAAGCAAAGAGAGGGGAGAACATCGATATCTAATAGCAACATCCATAGATTTCAATCATTTTACAACAATGGTTGAGATCTTACCATTTGTAAGCTGATAGTGCGAAGAAAAATGTATTTTGTCTTTGCTCATTTAGGTTTTGGCCCGGTAAATGTTAAGCATGTTTAAAGTAGTTAAATAGAACAGTTTCACCTAAGATTACATATAACTCCATCATCATAGTTGATCGAGGTGAATGGGGAACAGTCTCCGCATCTATTGACAGGAATGAGATTAAAGAGAATATTGGGCCGTTAGTCATTTCATTTACAAATGTTCAGGAAAGAGAACCATCAAAGGTGAATGACGCAAACTAAGCCATGGAGAAAGACTCCAGTACAGTCATCAAATAACGCCTTAAAGTTGATTCTTATTGTCGGTTTGCTGAAACTTTCTATCAATTGGTGATGTTTATTGTAAATGCAGTAAAGGAACTATAATTATTTCGATTAGATGTATGATCTGATATGAAGATACCAGATACTTGTACTAGCTCTAATTTCATACCTAAGAGAAATGAGAATTGAGAACTCAGCCTGTCCTGCAACATGTGTTTGATAAGGAATTAGGTCTCTCTTTTTTAGGTACATTACATGCCAGCAGCAAAGCCAACTAAACAATTCGAAAATATTTGAAAGAAAATTTGAAACACATAGTATAGAGTCCATTTTATCCTACTAGCTCAATAAGAAAATACTCTAATTAGACAAATTTTTTCATATGCGAACTGAATTTCTAATCCCTATTTCTGATGACACAAATTAAATGAAAGAGGCGCTAGAACTCAACATAAGTCTAGATGATCAACTAAAATTAAAAGAAATGAAAGAAAAAATGAACCTGAGTGAAAGCGCCAGGATCGTGAGGGAACTCATTGACCACTTCGACAGTGTAAAGCTGATTAGACGGGACATCGTATTGAAACCCGCCTTCCTTTGTCGATGAAGTATTTAAAAAAACTACTAAACAAACAACTAGGATTAAAAAGACAAGGACGGAGATCTTTCTGTAATGGAGAAGAAAAGGAGAGGAAGAAGCCATTGAAGGTTGTTGAGGTAGGGAGTTAATTCTTCTAGTATTAGATTTCTTTCTCATTCTTCCGCCTGGCATGTGGTTGACACCTCAGCAACGACGGTCATGGATTCCTCCGGGGTAAGGGCACGCCGGAGCGACGACGGGAATGGGCGAGGGGGTGGCAGATTTACGTGGGTAGTCTAGATGAAAGGCGTGGTCGTCGAATGCCAATTGCCAATTTTGACTTTCAATTCTTAACAGCATCAAATTTTCGACTGTAGCACATAAGTCCCTAATGGCTCGTTCGGTTACAATCACTAGAGATGACAATTTCGAAAAAAATAAAGATAATTTTTTTTATTAAATTCTAATTTAACCAATTCCAAAATTATTTATATCATATTAATTACATTATTTTATACCATATTAAATGTTGGATCAAAATTTTAAAAATTATTAATCTCGAGATAAATAATAAGATAATAAAGACGTTCTTCTCCAATACTCGTTCTCTCAAAGTCCTTTAAGAAAATTAAGGTCAAACAAAAATACATTATTCCAGTTTATTTAGTGTATAAAATTAAACACATATTTTATATTATACCTCGTATATTTATTTTTTTAGTCTAATATATCAAACATTTACTAATAAAAGTATATCAACAAAATACTTTATTTATTATTTAATTTTGGTATCATAATCTTTGAATTATAATTCCAGTATAACTTGTTGGCAAATCAAATGAACCCTAATTTTAACCATGGGAAATTTAAGAATACCCATGTACTACTATAAGGTTGATCGAACAATAACCATAAAATAGAACGAAAAAAGTAGTCTATCCTTTTGGAACGACAGGGGCGGCTCAATACTATTGGAGATCTAAAGCCAAACTCCAATTGGAGGCCTTAATTTTTTTCCAAAAAAGAAAAGAAAAAGAAAATAAGCTTTCATATATATATATATTTTATTTGAAGTCTATTTTCCTTGCCTTTTGAGATGCAAAGTTTTGAATAACTATTTTATAATCAATTTTTTCTAACAGTTCCTTTTCAACTGATAATATAGCTAATATATTCAACCTCTCTTGAGACATTGTTGATCTTAAATAAGATTTTATCAATTTTAATTTTTCAACCTCTCTTGAGACATTGTTGATCTTAAATAAGATTTTATCAATTTTAATTTTTCAACCTCTCTTGAGACATTGTTGATCTTAAATAAGATTTTATCAATTTTAATTTTTCAACCTCTCTTGAGACATTGTTGATCTTAAATAAGATTTTATCAATTTTAATTTTGAAAAACTTCTCTCCGCTGAGGCAACTGTAACATGAACTGTTAACACTATTCTGTAAGCAATATATGCATTTGAAAAAGAATCAAGTCTTTTTATCTGATTGAGGATATCTACTAGAGTATTATTATCTACCTGTACAATTTCTCGTAACACTTTCAACTCAGAAAATAAGTCTAAACCATCAATATCAGATTGATTATTATGTTTTAAAGAATATTCAAGGTTAAGGCAATATTTTTTTAAATTCTCATCATCGTGATCGTATTTACCACTAAATAGAAAACCCAAAATATTTTCATGGGCTTCGAATTGTTCAAATCTATTTTGGAAAGAAAAAAGAGCTTGGTCTATATGTATAAAAAGTAATCAACTATAAAGATTCTTCAAGAGACCTTATGATTTCGTTGTCAATATTCTCATCAAATTATTTCTTTCTATATATTACCCGTTTACTACGAAACTCAGGTTCTATATTCATCTCAGATGCAATTTTCTTAGAAGAAACCATAGCAGTACAAATCCTTTTTCTCTATATTTTTGAAAAAAGAAAATCAAACCTCTTAGTTGATCTATGGCAATATCAATATGTATATCTTTTGATTGTAAAGTTTTGCTAACTGAATTAACCTCAAATAATATATCATGCCAAATAGTCATACCCAATAAAAATTCAAAAATTTTAAGCTCATATGTTGCTAAACAACTAGCTTCACTTTTGATTTTCGGATCTTCACTAACTCCAAAGAATGAGTTAATGTGTCTATTTGTTTCACTAACTCCAAACAACTAGCTTCACTTTTGATCTTCTTCTACTATCTTTGAAATTTAAAAGATAGTGTGCCTGTTCGTTGAACCACTCCAAAGAACGATATAGCTTTTTTGTAAGAATTAGCCATGTCACAAAGTACTAAATTTAAATTATGACAACCACATAGCGTATAAAATAATTTAGAATTTATATCTAGAAGTCGTTTTTGCAATCCTTGGTGTTTTTCTTTCATATTGGATCCGTTATCATATCGTTGTACTCTTAGATTATCAATATCAAGTCCAGTATTTTTTATCTCATCTATAATAACTTCAAAAAGGCCTTTTCCACTTGTATCATCCATTTTTTAATTTTTTTAAAAAATATTCAGTAATTTTTATTTGAGTTGCTGAAATGTCCACACTTCGCAATATAAAAGACATTTGTTCTTGATGACTAGTATAAGGAGTGTAATCAAGTATGATTGAGAAATACTTTGTTTCTATAATTTTTAAAATAATTTTATTCTTACTTTTACTTGCCAACAAATTTATCAATTTATTTTATATATTATGTCCAAGATAATGATTATGAATTTCATCATGTTTAATTCGCCGAATATGCTCTTGCATAATCGGATCAAATTCTGCAATCATTTCAATTAGACTTAAAAAAATCTGTTGCTTTCTTGATAGATCTTCTTATTTCCCCCCCTAAATACCAAATTATTTTTTTCAAGAGTTTTTATCACTGCAATAATTCTTGACAATACATTTTTCCATTGCTCACTATCTCTATTGATTTGATCTTGAACATCTTTATCAATTGTTTTATTTTCCTGCAATCTTAATTCTAAATCAAGCCAAGCACCCTTATTAATGATATAGTCGTTTGATGTTTCATGAGCTTTAAGCTTAGCACTAAGGTTTTTCCAATCTCTACTACCTTCATTCGCTAGTTTACTATTACTAATACTAGAAGTTGTATTAAACAATTTGCGACAAAAATAAAATACTTTATCTAAGTCTTTAGAATAAACTAACCATCTCCTTTCATGTTTTTCAGCATTTGCCAATTTTTTAAAATAATGGGTATTAGAAAAACTAGTGTTATACCTGTAACGACCCGACCGGTCGTTTTGAGAGTTGTAACTCCGTTCCCCTATTTACTGCTCATTTTATACTTTATAGTTGTTATATGACTTGCCGGGGTAGTCAGTTCGGGTCCGGAGGAATTTCAGAATGAAATGAGGCACTTAGTCTCAAGGTTGAAAGCTTAAGTTGAAATAGTTGATTGGATGTTGATCTATGAGTAAACGCCTCCGGAATGGAGTTTTGATGGTTCCGTTAGCTCCATTGGGTGATTTTGGACTTAGGAGTGTGTCCGGATTTTAGTTTGGAGGTCCGTATTAGAATTAGGCTTGAAATGGCAAAAGTTAAATTTTTGGAAAGTTTGACAGGGAGTGGACTTTTTGATATCGGGGTCGAATTCCGATTCCGGAAGTTGAGTAGGTCTGTAATGTCATTGTGACTTGTGCGTAAAATTTGGGATCAATCGAACGTGATTTGATAGGTTTCGGCGTCATTTGTAGAAGTTGACTTTTCTTAGTTTTATTAGGCTTAGTTGGTGTGTATTTAAGGCGTAAATTGGGAGTTTGAGGCTAGGGATTCAGAGAGTTTGATTTGGGGATTTTGGGTGACGATTTGATGTCGGATTTTGATATATTTGGTATGGTTAGACTCGTGGATGAATGAGCTTTCGGGTTTTGTGACATTTATCGAATTTCAAGACATGGTCCCGGGGGCCGGCTTTTGAGTCAAGTTTTGACTTTTGATTTAAGTATTTTCTTATGGAGTTGATTCCTTTAGACCGTGTTGATTATATCGAATTATTTGTGGCTAGATTCGAGGCATTCAGAGGCCGTTTTGCGAGGCAAGGGTGTGTTGGAGTAGAGATTTGCTCGGATTGAGATAAGTAACAGTTTTAAATTTGGTTATGAGGGTATTAAACCCCGTATTTTGTGCCATGTGTTTGGTTTTGAGGTGACGCACATGCTAGGTGACGGGCGTGTGGGCGTGAACCGTAGGAATTGTGACTTGGTCAATTCCATGGAACTGGTTAGTTGAATAATCTGCTGTTATCCGTACATTTCCACGTATTAGAGGAATTGAACTGCAAATCATGTTAGAAATTATGTTTAGACCATGTGTTGACACTGTAGGGACCTGCAGAGGTCGTGTACATGTTGAATTATCTGCTAAATTGCTATTTTATACTCAGTCACAGTTTTACTTGCATATTACATCACACTCTGTATTGTTCATTATTGATGCATTATATCATTGTTGTTTGAGCTACTTATCATGATTTCTGAGAGCCTGAGAGACTGGGGAAGTTGATGACTGAGTGAGGCGGAGGGCCTGGTTGTGAGGATATCTATGGGATCGGGCTGCACACCGCAACATGTTTCATTGATATATGCCATGATTGGCTTGTTATAGCGCTTGGGCTGAAGGAGCCCCTCCGGAGTCTGTACACACCCCTAGTGAGCGCATGTGCCAACTAAGTGCGAGTGCCGGGTGCTAAGTGATTGAGAGGAATGAGTGACTGTGAGGAAAGAGTGATTGTGAGGTTGAAGTGAATGGGAGGACTGAGTGACTGTTGCTCTGAGAGGATGCATTGACTTCATTATTGTTGCACTTCCGCTGTCATATATCACCGTCTTCTGTTTCAGTGGAACTTGACATGAATTAACTGTTTTGGCCTTAATTGTCGAACTTAAAAGCATGCCTACTGTGATGACCCAATATGTCATCTTTAATATTAAATATTTATTTTTATATTCTGAGACCTCAAAAAGCACTATTCAGCATTCCTCGACTTGCGTGCGCAGTCCGTAAATTTTTCCGAAAAGTTTTTATATGAAAAATTGATTAAAATGTGAAATAGAGTTATAAAACTCAATTGAGTTGACATCGGTCAACGTTTTGAGCCAACAGACCCGGATCAGTATTTTGACAGTTCCAGTAGGTCCGTATCGTGATTCGGGACTTGGAAATATGTCCGGAATCGAAATTGGAGGTCCCTAGCTCAAATTATCGGCATTTTAACAGAAACTAGAAATTTAAAGGTTTAAGAATTCCTAAATCTTGTCATAATTGGGTTTTTGTTGATACCGGGTTCCGATTTAGATTCCGAGAGTTCGAT